TATACAGTATATATATATATATATATCTTGTTTCATAGGATGGGTATATTGTTATTATTATTATTATACAGGATTTATAGAGCGCCAACAGTGTGCGCAGCACTTTACAATATAAGGAAGACATTACAATCACAATACAATTCAAGACAAGATGGTAAGGAGGGCTCGGCCCCTGAGGGCTTACAATCTAAAAGGGGGAGGGGCCAGTGATACATGAGGATGCATACCCTAAAGTCCTAGTTGTGTCTTGATAAGGATGGACTGAGCTTCGTTGAAACCTTGACAATAAGATGCTGACGCTTTGACTTATCTCCGCTGCAAGACCCGCGAGTGCCTCTCGATCCGGGTTGGGCAACTCCGGCCCTCCATCTGATGTGGAACTACAAGTCCTAATCTAGTAGGAAAGAGGGAGGGAGATAAAAAGGCTTATCAAACCAAACCGATCGATATCAGCACCCATAACCTATGGCTGGGGGATATTATAATCATATTACCTCTACGGATCACAGATAATTCAGAACCGGTCATTAGGAAGACGGAATGTTTGAAATCTCACATTCTGGAAGGGAGGACACGTGACGTTGAAGCCGGAACAGCCCAGGAAAGTGCAATGCTTCTGCAGTGATCGTGTTGTGTTTACTGTAACTTTTACATTGTTTACATGACATTTACGTATTTACAACTACAAGATCTTCCATATCATTTGTTTCTTTTATAGAGATTTGTAAGGTTAGGATGAACAGGAAGTTCATGCAATGAATGTAAACCCAATTACCAAAACCTCATAGAAGCTTTCACGTGCTAATGTCATTTAGAAAGGAATCTTTAATCGTTTTAAACCGGCAGCTTCCGTTAAAGTGGAAGTGTACCGCCCTGCATATTTTTTGTTTTTTAGCATACTTGCACATTAGGGTGCACCTACCTGACAAATATGCCCTTCTCCAGTGCTGTCAGTTCAATCCTCAGCTTTGTTCCCTGCCACCACCCGGATTATTATTATTATGCAGGATTTATATGGCGCTAACAGTTTGCGCAGCGCTTTCCAATATAAGGAATTCATTACAATTACAACACAATTCAAGACAAGATGGTAAGGAGGGCCCTGCCCCTGAGAGCTTACACTCTAAAAGAGGAGAGGAAGTGATACATGAGGAGGTAGCTATGTGGGGATGGATTGTTTGTATTACTTCTGGGCTCTCGGAGGTCCTCTTGGGTGGCCACTGATGATGTAACTCCCATGCATATGCATGCCATGCCCATGTTCTGGGGCAAATGTAACTCCTGTGCATGTAGATAGAAAGTGGCAGGTGGAGTGAGCACACGTAGAGAGGAAGTGGCTGGTTCAGTTGGCGGTGGAGCGAGCGCATGTATATAGGAAGTGGCAGATGGCGGTGGAACAAGCGCATGTAGACAAGAAGTGGCTGGTGGTGGAGTGAACGCATGTAGACAAGAAGTGGCCGGTGGTGGAGTGAACGCATGTAGACAGGAAGTGGCTGGTGCAGTTGGTGGTGGAGGGG